GCAGGATATGACACCAAGTTCACCATTTTCTCCGGGGGAACTGATCTCTGCTACCTGAAGAACAGTTGTAATTTTGAATGATCTCCAGCCCTCACCTGGAGGTTGGCAACAATGGTTCCCCATGACGGAATTGCTGGTTTGGAAGGTGGAGTCTATGGCATTATACCAGAATGAGGTCCCACCCCTCCTGAAACCTCACCCTCTCCAGGCTCCATCCCTCAAATCTCCAGGAATTTCCCACCTGGAGTTGGCAACCCAATCTCCTTCCCAGCCAATCATCAACCTACCTTTATTTCCCACTCACTTGACAGCTTTCCACCTCCCCTCACCTGCAGCCTCTACCGTGCTCTGAAGCCCTGACTGCTATGTCACATTGGCTTTCATACAGGGGGCATCTGAGCAGGATATAAGGAGACAGAGTCCACCATTTTCTCCAGGGGAACTGATCTCTGCCATATGGAAAGCAGTTGTAATTCTGAGTGATCTTCAGCCCTAAACTGGAGATTGGCAAGAATGGTTTCTCGCAACAGGCACTAAGGGTACCTCAGAACACATTTTACCTCAGAACAGCCACAGAAAACTGTTTAGAGTGTTAGAGGCAAAGGCCTCTAACGACCTCTGTGCTCTGAGGCAAAGGCCAATCAAGCCACATATGCAAATAACCTCTGTTTTCTGACTGGCTATGGGGGGGGAAAGGAACAGCGAACTGTTTAGAATGTTGGAGGTGAGACTCAGGCAACGCAGCCCATGGATAGGGAGAGCTTCTGACTGACAGATCATGGAGCCAAAGGCTGTGGGAGCCATGTGAAATGTTCAGCAATGTGCCACCACCAACAGAGAATTATTATATAGGGAGATTTTCTGCAGTCGATTTTTGTTCACCAGGCACAAACCCAAAGTTTTCTCCTTTCCGCACATTTACCGAACTCACTAAAACTGGGAATTCTAAAAACATGAGGAAAGAAGAAGAAAACTTCATGCTCCAAAGAACTTAGCTGTTAAAGAGAAGGCTTTCTTCTGTTCTTACAGCATAAAGAAGATTGTTCATAGAATCAGTCCCTCTGGATTGTACTTCAGCAGGGTTTATGTCCCACTTGCAATTTTATGTCTTTTAATGTAATTGTGTGCTTTATTTGCAATCTGCATGATAGCTTATCTTATATTACTATAAATACTTTTGCAAAAAACAGATTTTGTTTACATTCTTCAAGGTTACTTTTACATAAATGTTTCAGCAGTTTGATATTTGGTGTACAAGACTGTATTGTAGAATGAGGGGGGAAGAGCAGGAAACATTAAGAATGAGATATGATCAGACTCCATAGCACTGCAAACTGCCAGTCTGAATTCGGCCTAAGAATGAGATGTGATCAAAACTCTGGACATGGAATTAAGATTTTTGCCCTTGGTGATCACAAGTTCTCAGAAGCCAACATAATGTGGAAGTCAAATATATACACTAGACATAATATGATGCAGAAACTGTCTAAATAAATGTGTTGAACAAAAGCTATATTAAATTACAAAAATGAATAATGCCATCTTGCCATCCCCTAGAAAGATTCAGACATAGATTCATTGAACAGCATAAAATCTTGGAGATTTGTGATCCCTCTTGCAATGAACTTTAGTATTAGTAGAGTATTTGTTGAGCACATAGAGGTATGCTGGCAGGCAGATAGGAAATAGTTTCAAAGCATCACTCTCTAACAGTGCAATCCTAAACAGAGTTATACCCTGCTAAGTCCATATGACTTTAATGGGTTTGGAAAGGTTTAATTCTGTTTAGGATGTTGCAAAAGATTCTCCTAGTTTCAAAGAACCCTCTTTTACAAGCCAGAAATATATACATATTGTTTCATACCACCTTCATTTTCCACAGGTTTTTCCTCTCTCTCTCCTGCCGAGTTTGCAGAAGCGGATAACTAAGCCAAGACAGGAAACTGGGTGTAGTGATGAAAGCAGTAGTGTTGATAACATTGACATTTTCCATGATTCCCTCAAGGTTCTTCATTATGTAGAAAGATACATACATTTCTTTCAGGTAACTCATCCACTATGAACATTTATGTCATTGTACTTTGACGATTCTACAAAAACCTAGTATGATCAGTGTCCTAAGACACACACATACACCATGGAATGGGAGGTACAGAATAGTAGTAAGACTGAGCAGAAAAAAACTAATAGGATCCGATCCACTGTTTTCCTTTCCAATAGAGAAGTAAGCTGCATTACCTGCATCATTGGTATGACTGGGACAAGGCCCACAATAGGTTGTCTTCACATTCAGTGAATGTTATTGAAGTCTGCTTGGCTTGTGTGGTTCCATCATCTGTCACCCTTTCTTTGTATAATAAAATACAATGTGGTAGATGTAGCAATACCTTCTTTGTATCTGTACTGTTGTCCCATAAGTGAACCAGTATGTACTAGCTCTCATTTCCCCACATTCATATATATATATAAGGGATTCCCTAGGGACCTATGCCAATGGGGCAATTAAAATACCTATACTCTCCCAGGAGCAGATTATGTAGTAGAGATGCAATTATTTTCTAAAGGGAAATATATTCTTTGTGACAGTATAAGAAAAATAAGAAGTTATGGTGTTGACTGATATCCCATGCAGAGGTCATTTAGAGGATGCAGTTGTGCATGTGCTAAACTAATAAGAAGTTATGGTGTTGAATGATATCACACGCAGAGGTCATTTAGAGGATGCAGTTGTGCATGTGCTAAACTATGGATTCCAATAAAATAAAATAAATGGTGTTACAGAGAGATAATTTTTTCCACCTATCCTTCAACAAGCAGATCTTCTGGGTGATCTGGAGCCGTGCTGCCCCCAAATAAGCCCCAAACTGGCCGGCCAGCCCTGCGCTGCTCGACTTAGGACCAGAGGCCAGTGGCAACTCCTTATCATCAAGCCTGGACTGGCAGAATGGCTGACTCAGGTGAGGGCAGGGCTTAGATGGGTCAGGGTCAAGGTGGCTGAGAAGGCATCCCACCAAAGCCAGGTGAAGATAGCCAACAGGGGGCAAAAGATGATGAGCAGCTGGGTGTGGTCTGCCCAAGAGGCCCAATCTCCACCCATGGGGAGGGAAGAGCCAGGGTCAGACAGGTGGGCTGCATGGGGCAAGGTGGCCTAGCTGTCTTTGAATGGTAGCTCTAGGAAGAGACCAGAGAAGAAAGTGTTGGCCTCCCATGTGGCGCACCAAGGGCTGAGCACAACACGGATGAGGAGGAACCAGGAAATACTATCCCCTCTCCTTCCATTCTGAGGCCTGTGAAGGCTCCTTCAGTGCAGGGATAGAACAGCAGAGTCCCAAAATGTGCTGTCAGAGTGGGAGCAGCCTCACACTTCTCTTGAAAACAGAGATGTATTTGCATGCATGGCTAGCCATTGGCACAGAGCTTAGAAAATTATTCTTCCCTTCTTTTGCCTTTTTGCCCTTTGGCCAGGCTAGTAGCCAGGTGTGGCCCATGAGGGAACCACCCAACATTTCCTTTGGCGACCTCAACAAGAGCCCCATGAGTGCCCCCCCCATGCCCAAGTATAAGCTGTTGTACTATATACCTAGGAAGGTTTGGCATCATCATGTGTCTCTTGGGCTGGGCTGTGGTGAAGAATGTCACAGTAAGCTCTGTCATCCTTCAATTGCACATCTGCAGGTAAACCTGGGGAGGCATTATTGGTATGCTTGTTTTGTATGGAGGGTGACTGTGGTTGAGGGATAGTAGGGTTGCCAGTTCCAGGTTGGGAAATACCTGGATATTTGGGCGGTGGAGTCTGAGGAGGGTGGGGTTTCGGGGGGGGGACTTTTCTGGGATATAATTCCATATAGTCCACCTTCCAAAGTTGCCATTTTATTCAGGTGATCTGATCCCTATTTCTTGGAGGTCAATCGTGGGAGATTTCCAACTGTCAGCTGGAAGTTGACAACCCTAACAGATAGGCATCCTGTGTGTATGTTTATGGGTGCGTTCAGACGCAGCCTTTACAACGGATTCTGTGCCAGTTGCAATCGATGTACATACCGGCGTTCAGACGGGGAACATCTGTCTTCCCTCTCTATCCGTTGTAAAGAGCTGTACACCATTGCACTCTGCCACTAGGTCGGAAGTGGTGGTAAACAGGGTGCAACGGTGGCTTCCGATGCAAACCGGCGTCTGATCGCTCTCCACCGGTGCCTAGGCATTTCCGTGGGAAGCCTGAGGCTTCCGGTTTTCCCCCGCCATTTTATTT